TAATGTGATTTGGGTATAAAATAATCATTATATGAAAGCAGGTTTTAAAAATTATTTTACCTACAGATATCCTTATCTCTGCACTTAAAACTTTTCTGAACAGTTCCTTCAATTAGAAAAAAACCAGTGGTTGTTCTAAACTACTTTTCTGAAGAAATCCATCTCTTACTGCTTTGAGAAGTCACGCCGAAGTCATTAATATGAATACCTCCAAATTTCAATTATATTAATTTTCATAGTAGCTTATGGAAGTTCAAGATGGAAAAGACCTATTAAATCTATCCCATTGAAAATGCACACATTGAGGATTTGTTTCCATGCATTTAAAGTCATCGCAAGCATTGTTTTTGAGAAAATTTAATGTTCAGTTTATCTATTCTACAACCTACATTTTAGACATAAGTAACTTAATCTTGACAAACTTCAGTATATCACAGATTAAAGCGAAAATAAACCTGAAATGCCTACAGCTATGATTTTTAAAATACTTTCTGGGGAAAACCCCAAAACCATTAACAAAACAGATTTCTTCATAACAGCAAAATGCCATATCTGTGAGACGACCTACCAAGACTAAATGTATTTTATGGTATATCCCAAGAGGCAACAAAAACCCAATCCAATGGGAAAAATTATACCTGACATTAAGTAGTGCAAGTTTTTAGCCAATCCTTCTATTAAGGTTTTACATTTCATTAAATGGATTTTTAAGAAACCAAACGCTTTTGGGACAATACAGTCCAATATTTACCACTAAACTAGCACTGAACAGCCAATAATCTAAAGGAGCAACGTCCAATCTCTGTACTTTCCATAGGCCACACTTCCTCCCTCCTCACTATCCAAGAATCAGGGAAGCTTGTAGTGGTATTCCCTCACACTAGAACTGAGCTAACAGCCCAAGGAAAGCAACAAATCCCAAGATGGTTCTGCATCGTAATGACAGCACAGTGCCCAAATTAAGAAATTCAGGGCTCCTGAGAAGACAATTAAATTGCATTTGAAATATGTGCTCGCTCAAGTGCAGCCTCAAGCACAATCTAAGAAGAGATGCTGGATGCAGACCGGGAAACCACCTCCAGAGGAGCACTACTTCAAGTCTCGGGAATGGGACTGAGAATCCATTCACATTTGCGGTCCAATGTAAACTGACCCCATCAGTTGCTACCCAGCCTTCCCTGCCATTTTAATAGTTCAATTACAGTTTATTTTGACTTGTCTTCACTGAGAAAGGAAGAATTACAACCCAACTTCTTATACAAAAAATTGCATATTAAGTAGTATGCCAAAAAAATGTTTCCACAACATGCCCAGTTGTAAGTAAAATGAGCTTCATGCCATCAGGGCACACCTCTCACCCGCTGAACAGCTCACCTCAAAGCATATTCTCCCTTCAAAAGGCCTAAGGGGTTTTGTTTTTCATTTCAGACTCTTCCTTCAGACTGGTTATTTCAGCTTTTTTTTGAGCCATGTTATCTCAAGGCAGATTGTGACCATTTAACTATCAGTACTTCATCAAAGTCAATGCATTTGTATTTAGTATCTTTCAAAAGAATTTGTAATTACAGGTTATCCTATTTTTTCAGTTTAAAAAAATCTGAAGTCAAAAGTGAAAAAGGGGAAAAACGAGTTTGGTATAACATTTTAAAATATGACAGTATACTTCAGATGAGAATGCTCCTCAAAGAATGCGTACTACAAAATCCTATTGGATTAGGGTTAAAATTAAATTAACATAACATTTAATTCATACTGTCTTCCTGCCATCTATTTTAACCTTTTGTTTTAATAATAGTCTCTAGTTTATCATATCTTTATGTCCAATTGGATAAAATAGATGTAGACAATAAATAAAACAACTTAAAGTCAAGAATTTTCTTTCTAGGTAATCCATAGTTATCTGTATTTTTCTTAGGAAACAAATACAGTTAAGTGTATTTGAATCGCCACGAAGTTTCCCAAGATATCAACATGCTTTATCTAATGAGCACACTGAACAGAACTACAAAGAATTAACTCACAACCAAAATTAATTTTGTGTTTAGTTTTCTTTTGGATTTTTTTTTTTTTTTTAACTGCCCAATAGCTCCCCTCCAAATAACTGAAGTGATAAATGCAAATGCAGTCAGACAAGCTGGATTCTGGTGGTGCTGTGTTTTCTTTTACTTAAATGAAACAGTAAAGCTTTGCTATCTTTAAGTATCAAAATTGTATCTCACATGAAAATTAAGCAGTTTGACACTGAAATCTCAGAAATAATGTAAAAACTCATTGAGTACAACCCAAAGTAAGTACATTGAAGTTGTCAATTTCATATCCTTTCCAGGCTGTTTTTTTTTTTTTACCACAGCATGTAGCAGTCAGGACTTCGCTGTGCTTTCTAGTCAAAGAGACCAAAGAGTTAAAAAACTTAAGCACATGCGTACACAGGAAAAATGATAAAGTGATCAGCCAGGTGAGGAACAAGAAAAAATAATCACTTCCAGGAGACAGGCAATACCTTCAAGCAAAAACACTACTTGGCCACATCTACATACCTTGGCTAGGAAACAAATTAGGACCATTCCTTTTCCAACAAAATAATGTGTTTATCATACAGCCAGAGTCAGTTACTACCACACATGGCAAAATGAAAATCACTGCCTTTACAGTTGAGCTGTACACAATCAACACAGCCAGGCAGCCCTTCAAAAGCTTTTATTAAGAGTAGAACCTGGCAGCCTGTCATCAGCTACAAAAGGCACTCCTCATGAAATCTTTAAAGTGTGCCTAAATTCAACATTGCAATATTTTTGGTTTGGACTTAAAAGCTTGGCTCACAGATATTTAAAAAGAGATTATTTTCTGCAAGAAAGACAGCAGACAAATCCAGTGCTGCCACGCACCAGAGCCATCCAAGTCAGAGTTTTACAGGAAAGACAGCTCACAACTGTGGAATGAAAATCACTAATATGAATTAAAATCTACACTAACTTTCAAATACATACACACCTCTGCTTGCTAGCAAAAATGCAGTGCAACAACCATGCACTCAAAACAGCATGGGGTGGCAAGGAAAGAATGAACCACTTTTTGCAAATTTGGTATGTTTAATGTACTTCTGAAACATACTTGGATACTACAAGGATGAAGATGTGTATATATTTAAACAAATGTACAGAAGCTAGCCCGAAGGCCTGAATGTCCCAGCCTTTTCCTTTGAAAAACTGAACACACCTCTTGAATCTAGTTCAAGTTGTATTTAGAACATGCTCCCCTTACAGATTTGCAGATTATAATTACCAACTCACACCAGTACTTTCTCAATCCCTATAAAAAACTCCATGTACAAGGGCAGAAAAAATGAGACAAAAGTAATCTAATATCTAGACACCGATGTAAAGTGCATTTTCAACTGAATGCAGTACACCAAAACAGAGAGCTTAAGTAGTTGCCATATGCCAACACTAGTCTACACCTAGTGAAAACACAGCAATTTTCCCAAATGCTGAGGTTTAGAAGTACTGTGCTAAGCAAAATCAGTTGCAGATTTTTTTTGTGAACGAACGAGTGCTGTGATATATCAAGAGTGGAGTGTTTCGGACTTCAAACCTAACTCACTATTGCATTACAAACTATAAAGCGTGGCATGTATCTCAAGTCGAGCAAAAAAGGGCAACACTAAAGACAGTCTAGAGGGAAGCGCTTGGTAGTTACAGATGTCACAAATGAGGACGTACACATGTGATAACTCCTGAACTGTACGAAAACAATCTCTATCTTAAGCCATGTAACACTGTCAATTTAAATAAGTGTACTTCCAAAATGCCAGCAATGCCACAATTTTCCTGTTACCCATCTGGTCCCAATTCCACCCACCAAGACCATCCCCACTATATTAAGTAGTAACACACACATGCTCCCTCTGCTGCTTGTATCCCATGCTTTGGGCTACGTACATACTGTTTCGATATAACTAGAGCACCATGTTATCGCAAATCAGCTCTTAATCAATATAGTATCACTATTCACACAGATAAATTTTAGCAATTTCTATTTCTGAAAACGTGAGTCAACTGATAAAAAGAGAACACTAATATTTTACAATTATTTTGTGCAGGAAAAAAGCAATAGTAACCAAAAATATCCCTAGTTTCTTGCCATTACAGGAATAGAACCAATAGGTCTTTTCCATCATCTTCCACAACTGAAAATCTGAATCATAATAAGCTTCCTAATAACTTTATCATCAGTTTTATCTTAACACTCAATCAGCAAATCTAGCCTGAGCTGTGTTGGAAATGAGTATTTTTCAAATTCAGCATTCTGTAAAACCTTTGTCAAGAATATGCAATCCTTCTAAATGCATATTACTCTACCATAAGTGAACAATTATTTTAACTGGAAAACATGTATTTGCCTCCTAATTAAATAGTTAATAATTGATAACAGACTTATTTCTAGTCAAACCAACCATTGGATGAAATGTACACTTATAATGACGTGTTATACAGTGGAACGCTTTAAACCAGCTTGCACAAATGTCTCCTTCCTTGCAATGGCAAGATCCTTTAATGATCTGTAGAACACACATCACAACAATTTTGCTTCGGCAGAAGTATGGTTTAGGTAAATTCATTCATACTGTTATAAAGCATACATACAGATTCCTTTTCCAAAGCTTCCCCCGCCAGTTAAATTTTCCCATAATTTGAGTGACGGATAAACTCTGTGGATAGGCCTATTGTAATAGACAAATTTTGCAAAGGGAGACTGAGATGCAAGGACACAGTATCCTTGAGATATAAGATTTGATGCTCTTCAAGACGAAACAAACAAAAGCCGTTGTTATAAATCGTTCATACCATGTACTGCAACATGCAGTTTAGCTAAAACAGATCAACTATTAAGAATGGAACTTTCTTGACACATAGTAGAAACTACATAAGAATGAAAATGATGCCACTTATAATTAAGCATAAAATTATTCTCACCCAGTATTAGTAATAACATTCCCAAAATCCTTTCAAGTGTTTATATTTTATTGTAATCAGATAACTGCACGTTTTACAGCATAGTCACACATTGTATTTTGCTAGAGTCACAAACACATTGCCTTACATCATGATCTGCATCATTCTGCTCTATACTACAAAGCCTACGACTGAATACAAAAAAAAGTTTTACAAAAGAAACTGTTTTAAAGACTACAATAACAATAAAACCGTTTCCAGATAACAGCTAAAATTATAAAGGCATATCACTGTATAGTTTTACTGGAATTTCTAAACAGTACGGAATGAAATAAGTCTTAGTATCTGCGACGCTTGTTAGGTCCTTCAAAGTTGCCCCCTGGGTTTCCTCTACCAAAGCCACCAGGTCCACCACTCACGGCACCTACACCACTCATTGGCGGCTGAGGAGTTTCAGAGCCCGTTCTACTAACCAGAGGTGAACCCATCTGTGATGGACCTCCTTGAGGGAATCTCTCATTATGCTAATACCAGTCCATTTGGAACATGCCAAATGAGAGTTACAACAAAAACCACAAGTGATGTTGTCATGAAGTTCAGCGGATAGTCCAGCAGAATCAGGATCACACATAGAGGGAAGAAAGGAGCAATTCAATTAGTTATTATGGAAAAAGAGCTGAAAATTAAAGAGTGCTAATGTTACGCTCCAACTTTGTAAAGTAAATTAAAAACTAAAAATTTAAGTATTAAGACCAACTCTGGTGCTGAATGTAACTTCATCCTTTCAAGCACACCTGAAGCAATACATACTCTCTATGTAACAGAAAACCACACAATTTTATACCTGAGCTGTATTCTGCCTTACAGATCAACTACAATGCTTCTATTTTAAATAAACTGGACACATAAACATTTTCAAACTAGGAAAAAAAAGTCAGCTTTCCTATTTCTGGAGACTGCAGGTTTACTCTTTTAATAGCAGTACAACCTGAAGACTTATACACCCACATATTTGTGGGTATTTCAGTCCATACTAGCTAGAGTCAGTCTTTTATATGGCACTTCAGGAATCTTCAGTTAGACTTTTAAAACCTGGTCCAAATAAACTGACACAACTAGTGACAAAATGCATAACTGAACTGTGTTTAGATTAAAAAAACTTGATCTATATCTAAAGCTTAATCTGAAATATCAACGTAAGACAAAAATCCAGTTAATGTTCCACATTAATTTTCCCTAGTTCTGTGCCTAACATTAATAAAAGTATATATGCTCACACAGATTTATTTGGCTATAGCAATTAAGACCTAAACCATGCATCTGAGCACTTATAGTTCAGTATTTACACAAGTGTTTAAAAATTGAACCCCCCATGATGAAATTCAAAACATTAACTCGACATAACATAAAACATTAAAAGCACAGATATACGGTACAATAGATCTTGAACTCATCATTCATCTGCTGAGGAGAGTTACACTTTCAGAAGAAACTCCTTCTGTACAGAGATCTACATTAACTGCCCAGATATTCAGGTTCAACAGGAACATTCAAGAGTAGCACTTTATTTATATGACTGAATCACAGAAGAATTCTTCTGAAAGACTAACTCCAGTAACAGTAGTAGAGCACAACAGTTCTAAAATCTAATTCTTACACATATGATTTAAAAACAGTATTATATCTCTACAGATAAAAATATATGCAACTTGGATCATGGTTGTGTTTATATGCATTGTTCAAAATTTGTCACTGATAAGAAAAAAGTTACTTCAACACCTGCATAAATATCTACTACTGCCCCAAAGTACCTTAAAATCTGCAGTACTGGTTAAAATTGTTAAAAAATTATCTTTAACTCATGCCAGTTTGTTAGTAAAGGCTATGAATTTCTACAAATGGTTTATCAGATACTCCCAATCATCTTTACCATTTAACTTTTGGACAAAGGTCCAACAAGGACCCCTCTCTCCAGCGAACAAGAAAACTGCAGTAATTAACTACCTAGAATAAAGGGGGGGAAAGCTATTTTTGAAATGTTAAGTTCAAAGATTACCTATGTTTCAGAAGACTGCAGTGGAACAACGAGAAAATTGCTCCAACTTTCTCCTCCAAATCTTTGGAAAAACATCCAATTTAAAAAATGAAAACTGTATTTCTGATCTATAAAGCATATTCTCCATTTCCCTCAGTGGAAATTAAAAGTAACTCTTACAGTGTTTTAGTAGACAGCCCTCAAAGGATATTTAAAGCATTTTTCCAACAACAGGAAAAATACAGTAAGGGTATGCCTTTCTGTAGGGCATTTTCCAAATTAAAAGCCTTGGAGGTCCAAAAAAAAGGCATCTAATCTGTCCTTCAGTAGCATGCAGAAGAAAATGCAAGTAAAAAAAAAATTATTGTTTTTTAAACACATGTTTTGAAGTGTCATTCTATTTGCTACATTTCCACACCTGGAATGACTTTTTGTAGAAAAACAACAGTTTGAGATATATAATATGCTTTACAATATCATATTCTTTTCCTTGCACCTCTTTTTCAGTGTCTAAATAATCACAAGAGAATGTTCCAGAGGTGACCAGCAACACAGTAGAGTCCAACAAAAGCATATCTGAAAACAGTATTTTGTGAAAAGCATCCTCCCTGCTTTGTGAGAAACAATACAACTGATAGCTGGCTCCTACAATGTGAAGTGAGATCCCCTCCTTTAACTGGTAAAGCCTAGACTTATTATGTATTCTGTGCTCAATCAAAATCTCATTTTCCTCTAAGGAACAAAGGATTTTGTCCAAATTTCATTATACAGTTTGCTCAATTGAAGATGGATACTGTTGAGAAGTCACAGATTAAAAAAAAAAGTTACAAAATGCTTCTGTGTTGAAATAAAACTGCAATGGAATCACTGTTTAAACTGCATACTCCTTTGTATCACACCACCACTAGAACATCCCAAATATCTATTTACAGAATACTGAAAAATATGGAAAAAAACAGATTAAAAATTATATAGTTGTTTCTCTACATAAGACATTACAGCTAGGAAAGGTGGCTATGAGAACGGTGCAAAAATGGCTAGCGCTTTAACTGCATCCGGATGGCATATATGCTCTTGATAAAAAATCTCAGATGTATACAAGACATTCCCTACCACCCTTGGCAACTGGGCAATATTATTTTTTCTGTATTGATATGGCAGTTATCCCTAACAGCTGCTGGCATACTTATTTTCTAAGTGGCGTAGTTACTGTCATAATCTCATGCTTTCAACAGTGCTAGAAAGGAAATACAAAAAAACACTAAAGTTGCTTTAAGAAATTAAATAGTTTACACAAAGATATCTTCACACTACATAGCTTCCAACATTTAACTGTTCATCAAAAACCCAACAAGCTCATACACAGAATTTAGTTTCACAAAAGAAAAAACCAAAACCAGTAAATGCCTAAATTTACAGATGACTCTGGTATGGTGTTCCTTCTTCAGAAGAAGAGTTCATCTCCTGTCAGCGACAGGTTATACATGCAAAGTTTTGCCACAAGTGCTATACATTCTAACCTCATTCTAAGTCCGGTTACTGATCAAAGAACTCACCCCATTCCTAAGGGAAGTAGGATTTTCATAATATCAAATAGAGATTTCCCTTGCATGTTGTAAATTATTTGCACAAACAAGTTTTATCAATTACTTTTAACAGATTCAAAACACCTAACATTCTCACTCAGTGTGAAAATATCTTTGGTAACAAAAATGGGCCATGAGACATGACAGCTATTCAAAGTAATTAAATTCGTGATACGTTACCACTGTTCCATTATCTGGCATCATTGGTGTTCCCATATTTGCAGCTCCTTCTGGTCCCATGGAAGGACCAGGACCCATTGCAGGGCCAGGTAAAGTTCCTCTGTTGTTCATATTCATACCCATCATTGGAGGAGGGCCTTGGTTACCAGCAGGTGCTGGGCTAAACGCATCTATGCAAAACAATCTATACTTAGAGCTGTCCTATCTGAATTTTACAAGAATAAACAAACAATTTACAGTATTTAAAAAGCCAAATGTACAAGACTTCCAATACTTGAAATAAAAAAAAATATTCTTTGAGACTGTACATTTATCTCAATCATCTGCTTTTAAACATATTTTCATTAATGCCTATTATTTTGCATGACATAATCTGCCCGTGTATTTGAAAATCCTGAACTTTACAGCTAAATATAGCTGTTCGATTTCTGTGCAGGAACTGAAGTGTTCATACAGCCTACACATACAGTACACACACTATAAATTGGCAAAAATCTCAAAAGTGATTTCACAGTAATTGGCACCTATAAGGCAATTTGGCTCTTCGAGGATCATAATGTATTAAATATACAAGAACTCCTCTACCAGTACTATGTTAACTGTATATACTGTTACAGTACATTAGTCTAACGTCTAAAAGCAATACCAAAGATGATACTCAACTTCACAATAAATTATTTGTAATATGGCATAAATAAATCTTGCATTTAAATGTAATTTGTTATAGTAAATTACCAGAAAACTAAGGGAAATTTTCTAAGAATTGAAAATGACAAAACATTCTCCTGCAAAATTCTGATTTGCAGTAAGAGGTAGAAGAAAAGCTTAAAAACACCTTTTGAGGAGATCGTTTAGCTATAATCTTGTGCTAGGAAACACACTTTGCCAGTACCCACTACTAACATATTCAACAGGCAGGTAAAATTGCCTTCATAACATTTTCTCATGTTGTTACAAGAAGGAAAAAAGTCTGATTATATACATCATCCACATCTGCTATTATGAAATGTTGTAAGCACTGCTGTTGCTCCTTTCCTGCCCCCCCCTCCCCCCCCCCACAATAATCCATCCTTTTCACCCAAAAATGTGCATCTAAAATTTGATAACAGAAGATGACATGGCTTTGGAATCTAGCTTACATTTTAAGTTGTGATAACACACAAGAATACCAAGAAATCTGACAAGTTGCTAGACTAATAAGCTTGTTATTTTTATTGCAAAAATCAATCTCTCACCTCTCATCACAACCAAAACTTCTTTAGTAATGAACATATAAATGTACATCATAGTAAGCAGGCCGTTTAGCACAGACACAGTACTATGATCATCTGCAGGTACGCAAAATTGCATCTGTATTACCTGCCCTGAGTACATGCATCACAGCAGCCAGTGAAATCACTGCATCCAAGATACTGCTGATAAAACTGCAGACCTGGGCTTAATGACATGCATTACACCAACTGCAAGCTGCTCAGCAAAACAATCCATGCAACACAGTAGCACATGTAACATGCTAAACAATTTTATTAGAAGCGATAGAGAAAAATCCTGTAATTTTGAAAAGCAGAACCCATTTGAGCTTAGTAACAAGAAACTCAAAGAGCCCTCCCTATGACACCAAGCGAAAACAAAGGTAGGCACAAGTTGGATGCTTCTTGCCTACCCACAGGCATGATCAGTTCATGTAGCAGATAGAAGACTGTGCTACAATTCCAGAGAACTACAGCTGAGTATGTCCCAAAACTGGTTTTTAGTGTCATCCGCTCAGCGACTAAATATGGGAAGAAACGGAGAAGTCTAAATTGCCAATATAAGGAGAAATCTTTATTTTCAGAGGCTAGAAGTACTCTGCAGAACTACCATGATGGCCACGCTTAGTGCTGAAGCAGTGACATCAACTAAAAGCAGTCAATGCTCAATTATCTGTTACTGACCTGCTTACCCGTTAGTTACTAGTTAGACTTAGGCATCTGGCCACACACAGGTAGTGTATGCTCATCCTTCAACTGCAAAAAAGTTCTTATCCTCTGTATCACACAAATGCACCCGTATTGCTTCCAGGGTGATGTATAGCGACATACTATCAAACCTCTGTATTATTAAGCAGTTTCAGGCAGAGTCAGCTCTGACAGGAGGACAACCAGGAAGTGTAATGCAAGGAGAGAGTGGGCCCTCCACAGTCCCAGCAAGAGCCCACTTGGCATTTTAGCTATACCTCAGAGGTCCTCCTAGCTCTGAAGCAGACCCTAAGAGCTAACCACTTGATTGCTTGTTCTTTTTGGTGGGACACAGGTGTTAGCAGTTAATTCACTGGACCAGGTGGAAAGCAGTCATCAGTGTTCATGCCACAACGCACAGACACTAAAAAAAAAAGGTCTTTTTCTGCAATCTGGATGGCTGAAAAACTACATTCTAGGCATCTAAATTGCACATGCCAAGGTCTGGGACAGCTGGCAACAAGTCATAGTCAATAACCCTCATCAATGCAGTGATAATTCCCCAAAAAGCCTTCCCCTCATATTGGGAAGTTTCTCAGCTGCACTTAGCATTATAGATCCAGTTTAGTGCTACGATGATCTAGACAACAGATACTGAAGACACTCCAGCTCCCCACTGTCCCACATGTTGAAAAGCTGGAAATGGCACAGGTAAAGGCCAGTTAAAAAGAAAGTTACAAGTCCAATAGAAACGTTTAGAAAGGATGCTAAGATCAATAATTAAAAGTTTACTATGTAACAGTCTACTGCAGATTTTTGGGGTTGGTTTTTTTTTGTTCCAGCAGCGTGGTTGTTAATGGGCTGGAGGAAAAAACCAAAACCAGTATCTCCACAGTGAGCTAACCTGAAAGCCAGATACCGGGGGAACAAATACCATCTTTACCTATTCACTACGGATATTTTTCCCTTTTAAAAATAGTTGTTCACTGTTACTGCAACTTCTTTTGGGAGCCACACATTTATTTCGAAAAGCATTGTACCAAGCTTAAAATCAAGTCATAACACAGAGTTTATAAAGGAAGACTATGATGAAATCACTGTTAAGCATTAAAACTTGACAAGAAAAGGGCTGTGAATGATTGCTATAAATACACATTTAATATCTGTATGTAAAAAGTGTATCTTGTGGATCTGGACAACTGGCACAGTATCGATATTTTCAAACTCTTCTAATTACATGACATTTTCAAGTAGACTGCAATAATATGCAATAGTACAACTACAGCATAGAAATAATTTAGTCACAATTTATGCTTCAGCTTATTACTTCTACATAACTTCACAATGTTTTCCTTTAGAATTATTTTTAAAGCTCTTCATCTTCACTGAAAGAAAAAGTCTATTTCTATTTTGCAGCTATAAATGTATCTCTAATAAATGCAAGGAAATGATTAATAATGATTTAAAATCTGGACCAAGCAGATTCATTAGTCTATAAATTCACAGTACTTACAAAGTCAGGTGATGAAGTTTACTAAGTTTTATATGTACTTTCAAATTTAAAATACACAAAAATAGTACTAAATTTTCTTTAAATTATCACCTTAATTAATTTTAAATCAACATTAGGAAGCTTCCAAAGGATATACATTGACAGTTAATACAGTTTAGGAAGATTTGGTTTTTTAAAGATATATTCTATGTTTCAGTCTTGTTTAAAAGCAGATATTCTGAATAAGATTCCAAACGGATTCAGTCTGCATACATGGAGCAAGCACTAACTAGTAAGAATGTACTTTTCTAGACTTCACAGTAACAGTTTTTAGCAGTGACAATATTTTAAGTCACAGAAGTGAACTGAGAATATTTGCAAATACAGACTTGCGATAAATTAGTAGAACACCAACCACATTATTCATTAATCTTTTGTCAGGTACATCAACAAGAACCTACCAATTTTAAGCTCTACATCATTTCACTGCATGCAACTACAATCCCACCTTCTCTGAATAGGTAGTCCCTCCAAAAGAATGCCAAATATTTTCTGAACAGAAAATTCCTCTTTTGTATCAGGTAATTTCTAGAGCATCATCTTTCCCTGCTTTTTTGTTTCTCTTAACTTGCACATCGTATTTTTCTCCCACAGCTAATCAAAAAATTAAAATATACACCTTAGGGGAAAAAACACAGCTGTTTGGAAGGAAAATGTGTGAGTTTTTTTAGCTTCCTAATACTGTTTACTCCTTTTTACCAGTAGTTGTCACTAATGAATAGTGCTTGAGTAACATGTACAGTCCCAAAGAAAAAGAAATTTTACATTACAGAAGCCTTTTTCCTTCAGATCCCTACCTCCCATGTTTATTGCTCCACGAGGACCCATATCACCCATTCTCATTTCCTGTTCTCTCTGAAAGTAAACATAGTTTTCATTGTCAACCTGTCATTCTTAGAACTTAAAACATTCCCATTCACTCCATGAAAATACAAATCTTCACGTTTCAAAACGTCTTCACTGATTACAAAAATGTACAAGGAATAAAGTTAACTATACTCCCCTGTTTTTATAAAATCAAATGGAATGATAAGTTAAATATAGCAGTGCTGTACATTTTTGCATAATACTAAAGATGAAATATCACAAGTTTCATTTATCAGACACAGCAGTCTGAAGTTCCCAAATAGTTACGTGATCAACTGCAAATGAACCCATCTTCACATAGTGTTTTTCATTAGTAATTATATTTACATTTTAACTGTAAAAATAAGAGGTCTGATTACAGTACTGCCTAAAGGCCGTGGTTCAATAATACAGTCAACCTGGCTTCGTGACTCAAAAATGCTTGTGTTGATTGGAAACCAAGCTCTGATGTGTTGTATTATGGTATATAAACTCAATCTATCAGTTCATCTTTTTTCAAATAGTTTTGACTTAACTTGGTGGTGGTACCTTTTTTGATAAATTATATCATGCTACAGATATGTTAGTTCAGATACTGACCATCCTTTATAAAAGGATGTAAATAAAATGTAGTATCAACACAAACTACATAAGATGTGTTTATTCTAAACAGACAACACATGAATTTGATCCAGATTCAACTGATGCTCAGTCATTCAACAGCCAAATAGTTCTGACATTACTGATCATGAACCACGGCCTGCTGTGAAACAATACTCAAAAGATTGTACCCAAAATCATCACTTAGGGGAAAATAAAGTATACCTATTGAAGGTAATTCCAAGGGATTTTAGTATTACTGTTTACATCAAAAGGATGAAATAGAAACAAATTCACAGTCCAAAATGAAAACTAAAGAAACTTACACCAAAAATTTGATACACTCAGATTTTCTGCAAGAATGTTAACATATATTCCACTCTTGAATGAAAACACATGTGCTGAGAATAAGCATATGCAAAAAAATTTACCTGATTCTGAAAATCATTCCACTTATGGTTTAAGAGTGTAAGTTCAGATGCACTTTGAAAACAATTCCATATACTAGGCAACTGGATCAGTCTTACTAAAAGCAGCCTTGAAATGGAAATATTAATCAAAGCAAAATACATTTGTAGTATTTTTATGATTTCACAAAACTCCTTTTCGTTCAATCATGTTTGGGATGCCAAACATGAGTCTTTATCTTCACATACTTAAAGCAGCAGATTCCAGTATTTGACAGAACAGAGTCAATAGTTTCATAAAATATCCTGGTACGGGAAATTGTCATAAGATACACGATAGGTCAATAACTGTTCCCAGTAACTCATATTAACCTAGAAAATGTTCTTAACATAAGACTGCACACTATTTTCAAAATAATATGTCTTAGAGTGGGGAGGAAAAGAAAGGCCTTGTAACTAAAGACACAGGCAGGTTTTAAGGTTTTTGATAAACACTAAGAAGGACCTCTTCTTCTGACACTAGAACCCACATTAAAACTTTCTAACAGGAACACGCAACTACTTTGTCAGACCTTTGACAGTAATGTCAACTGACCTTTTAAGTAAAATCAGCAACCCCGTTAGGATCAATCATACCCGCAAACTGATACCGATGAGTTAGTCAGAGAATCTGCACACAACCTTGTCGATACTACTCTGCTTTTAGACCTCAGCCCTGACATGAAGCAGAAGGAAAAGTGGTATTACCAGCCCTCATGTCAATCCCTAGCCCAACATGGTAGCAAACCACCGTGGCTATCAGTTTACATCAATCAGACTGTGCGTGCACGCAGGTGCGCACGTGTGAAAACAGGACGTGCCACAAAGAGGAGTGAGATACTCTTTAGCTACGAGGGGAAGCACCAGATTTTTAATTGCTGCATATAACTTACTTGATACATCTCAGGTTCAACTGAAAGTTGGTGTTCATTTTTTTTAATGTGAAATGTGCCATATAAAGCAGGGCCAACTACAACACCAGCCAGATAACAATGTTAAGTATGGAGCTATAAAGCTGTACTAGTTACTAGAACTTAGCCTGTTTTCTTTGCAAAGAACAGAAGCACTGGCAAGCTGTAACATACACTTTTTTTAAGAAGCACACTACATATCCTCCTAGCAATAAACCATATTTTTCGCAGCTTGAAACGCTACCAATCTTGTTAACAGAAGAGGGGTTGAACCTGTAAATTTTTGGGTTTTTTTTCAGTCTAGTCTAAGCTTTGTAACAAAATTACCATGAAGTAATCATCTGCCATTTTGCAGCTTTAACTGTGATGTTTAGTTATTACCATTTATTAAAAAACATTTCAGCTATAAATTCAAGATCCATAAACGTGCCTTATGATCTCTGCTGCCTGTTAATTTATCAACGTGACAAAAATTCTTATTATTCCTACTGTTGCATGTTCACAACTTATGTTCTTTTAAATTTTCAGCACAGGGAAATTCTTCTATACTGTGAACGCGGAATTAACAAATTTAAGATAAATTCCCTGTCAGAGAAAATATTCAATTTCAAGCGTGAACTGAGAGCATATATCATTAATGTAATTAAATGCTTGACATATTAACTATCAAAACATGTGCTTAGATAATTTGCCAAAACCTGTATTTGCAGCAGTCCATACAATAACAAAAATTCAGTCCTACTCCACACGCATCATGTCGTAGACAGCTCTTTACTATGTGAGCACAAACAAGTTATTGCAGGTAAGTTAGGTCAACTATTCCACGTGTTTTGCCCAAAACATGACAGAGAAAGGAATACCAACAGGTAGTTAGGACATAGCCGCCGAACAAGTGGTGGTTGATACTCCAGCCCACCCAAGGGCTTTGTTCTTGGATACTCAAGCCCTTTGCAGAACATAGTAATGACAGCATCTTCTCAGAGCTTCTTTTCCTCACTACGTGACTGCTCATTCTTCTGTTGAGTAGCAGCCTGCTTCAGTCCCTTCCCCAAAGCCATCCAGAACTACCCATAACAGGGAGTTAAAACTGAGCAGCAAAAGAGGAGGGCTAAACTTTTACTAGAGAAATATGTGGGGAGGCGATTAAGAACCTCTGAAGTCACCTGGTAGCTGGGAAAACAACTTAAACTGGAAGAGAACAAGAAAAATGGATGATATGCAATTATAGGAGGAAAAGAAAGCCGTAAGACAAAGAATGTGTAGTAAAGTATAATTTAACCTTCAGAAAGATTAAAAAAGCCTCAAAACCAAAAAACAAAGGTAAGTAAAGAATAATATCCTATTGTAAAAGGGTAATTGTTTACACAACTCAAAAGCTTTCCAAATTACTTCTGTTGCAGGATTCTTGTAAAATACTTCAGAACCCACTAATGAAAACAACTCTCAAGAAGGTCTGATTCATCCAAGTAATTTGCTTCTAGAAAAACTGCTATGATGGCAACTAATGCATTATATTTGCTAATTATTTTAGCTACAAGCATTAAAAATGAGATTTCCTCACAATTCCATCTCATTTTCATGTCAACTATAAAAAGTAGATCTACACAAAAATATTGAATAGACCCAGTTTTCAAATTACATATATATTGTACATTTAACACCGTATGGACTGTCCTCTTTTTACAAGTGTTAGAAACAAGATTTCTTGAGCATCTGAGGTATATCACGTGCAACGGTCTTACACCTCAATCACCACTGATACCAGTAAACTAGGTATACAGAGAACTGCCAAGATGATTCTTCTGGGTTTTTTTTAATGATACCAGGGTATTTTTAAATTCACTCTATAAAACCATGAAATTAACTGTTCTGAAGAGACACTTAAGAACTGATACAGGAGAATATATCAGCTGCAATTCCTTTTTCACACTGAAAATAGAAATACCAGTAGTCATTTACCTAACTGACAAACCAATACTATTTTTCCCAGAAACACGCCTTGCAATTGCAGCAGCCCAAAGAAAATTAAAAATCTTGTCTCCAAATGATGCAATATTCACAGTAACAAAACTGTAAAAAAATTTATGGTACGGAATACACACAGCATGGAATATTTTAGAATACCAAAAAGCAAGATATCAACAGAAGTGTTAAGACGACAGATTATACAGTTTTCTTCAAGTGTTTGTGGGCAGGAGATGCACTTCCCAATTAACACAGGAGTATTCACTCACCTTTCAGCTAAGGAATGGTGACCAAAATATCGCTAAGACACAGCATCAAAAAAAAAGCCTTATCAAAAAAACCAGAACACTTACCCCATAAACTTAAAACTTGCATATTAAAATCAGTAACTTAATCAGCACTTTATCTAGGTTGCAGTGTAGTGAACTGTAATTCACAGTGCTGCTGATTCTCACCCGTTTCATTAACCAGGAAACTGAACTCTATTCTCTAGCAGACTTTATATTTGTCAAAACAGGTACAGTATTTCTGTACCTCTTACTAGAGCTCATTGCTCCCTTCTAGAGTGGTTTGTCTCATTAAGTTCTTTCTAGAACAGAAAAATTATTTCCAAAGGCCTCTCCAGGAGGCATAAAATTGCACCAAATTGTAATTTACTGAAAGACACCTATATTTTAAAGACACAAATCATACAAGTAGTTAAAATTGCTGGTTTGGTAGTGAAAACTAGAATTTGGGGGATACTTTTGACTGTGCATTATTTGTCTTTTCCTCAGAATATTTTACTATTTCACTCCAATGACTAGCTCACTGAAGTTGAGCTGCCAGCAGGGAGTTAAAAGTAATAAAAGCCTTCTCTTGCACCCACCCCTCTTGTCACCTTGCCCTCTTTGGTTTATCTATCAATTAAGATCTATATCTAAGGACCAAAAGTTACAATATCCCAAAATAGTTCATTTTATTCCCGTCACATGCAGTAACAGTAAATTATTTTAAATTAAAAATACTGATCTTCTTTCAAAACCCAAGGTTTCTGTGTGTTCCTGAGCAGTGCAACCTGAATCCAGACCTAATCCCTCTTCTGAGC